TGTGCCATTCTGAGACACCTTTTCCGACACATTCTATGAACTTAAGGCACTTACCTACGTGGGATGCATGGTTTCCTCACGAATTTAGGGGGCGTTGTAAAACAAATTTGCCCGTATTTGCACTTGCGGAGAGGGTGCTAGTCAATTCTAACTCCTGCTTAACGAGTTGGTTAATCTCGCCTCCCATCTCCCACATAATTCACACCGATGTGGATATTGTGAAAGCCGATAGCAGACGGTGAGAACTTCACATTTCATAAGTAAAAGAGCATTCTCAAATTAACCACTGTTATGAAAATAAACGAAGAGGTTGCAGAGAAGAGATGATGGAGCATTAAGCCTATCAATGCATAGTTCCAGAGCGGCCATAAAAGCCAACAAATTGTGCGCGTGTGAGAGAATTAGGCAGCTTTTCAAACTAAATAATTGAAATAGAAAGAGACAATGACTGCAACTTAAATGTGATCCCGAAAAGTACCAAAAAAACTTGATATATTTGACCACATCAAAAGGCTTATACTTGAAATAATCCATTAATGACGACAGTATCAACGATTGCAGTCCCGCCCTACATAGATGAATTTTTGAATGCACAATTATCATAAGGGCAAAAGTTTAGAACGGCAAAAAAAATGAACAGCGAGGCTTAAATGTTAAGAAGGGTATCAACTTGAAAGAAATTTATGCAGCAAAAGCAGTCACAGATTATGCCCCTTGAAATAAGCAAAATCACACGAGGTTTTGAAAATTAAAGGAAGCAAGTGGGTAGAGAGGCTAGAGACTGGCAAGTGGCGTAAAAGTTTAACTAAAAAGTCGTAGTAATGGAAGGGCAGGAAACGAACACCTAATGGAATCAATGATAATGAGTAGCAGTAAAGGAAGGAAAAAACTGAAAATCGAACTTACGAAATTGGATGAGAAGAAAATCCAAGCTTGTAACTCAAATTTTCTGCCAACTTTTCTTTACTCTTCCCAAAATGCCTCCTTCAAAAACGCACAGCTTTATTACTAATGCCATTCGGACGTATTTTCATACGATCGACCTCTCCACCTCGCCCTTAACCATTATTTTACTTATTTTCTATTCCATCAAAACGCCTATTGATTCATTCCTTTATTCAATCCACCACCTCTTTACTTTGCTGCTGTATTTACACAACCTATTCATTCAGTCATAAGGTGGGAGTCAAGGCAGTTAATAGCAGTGCTATCACAACGGGGGTGGATACAGCTAAGGTATGGGTGTTAGGATGGAAAGACAAATGGATGCATGGAAAAACCACCAGAATAAGGCAAGCGTAACGTATGACAATGACCAACCTGTAGGATATAGAGAGAGGTGAGGTCGTGGGGGAGAAAGACGGAGGTGGCGACACAACCAGAAAGGACGATGCGAAGGAGTGCTTTATTGAGGCCTCGCTGTGGGTGTGGCACCGCATCACTCGTAATGTCACTGTCCATGCGTGTAAGAGCGGCACGAAGGCATGAGGCCGTCTCCAGCACTGTTTCCAGTTCTGAAGGTGCGAACTCCCCGGCCTCGGAAACCAGAAAGCCCTCGGCGTCATAAATGTTGCCGTTGGCGTGGAACACGCAATCGGCTGACAGAAAATGGGAGTTAGGGAGAGTAGTAGTTGGTAGAGTTCTTGCAAGAAGAAAACTGAAAGCTGTTGGTACTTACACTGGAGAAACTCGCTAGCTGATCGACGCCTCATCCAACGAAAACACCCAGACTTCTGTCCATTCCTTTATCCGCCTATGGAATCCACTTATGCTTTAATTCACCTCTATTCTTATTCATACACTAATTGATTCTTGCATTACAACGTCAGGATCCATCCATCTACTCCAATTTCTCTCACCTGCGTCAAAACTATTCTACTTGCATTAAGTGTCTATTGATTCGTCAACCAACTTAATGTTCATCTCTCCGTACTTTTCACACAATTTATTTTGGCCTAGTCAGGAAGTTCTGCTCAGTTAAATGTCACCCCCATATTCACCTCTTGTCAATCCTGAGTGCTTTACAATGTCCATTTAGATAAAATCCTATCCATCCTAGTTGGACCTAAACAGTTATAAACTCAGGTATTGGAGACAGTTCCCCTCATCTGCCTCAGGCCCCTCCCTTCGTTCGCTTATTCAATTCAGGTTTAGTCACCTACTTACACAGGTTAATTATCTCTTCGGTTATTGTATACGAACTGACCATGTGGACACCTACCACCCAAGATAACCAATGACCAAGCGCGATTAAGCAATGGGGTGTAGCTACACCTACAATCTAGCATCACTTAATTGGTTCCTTACAGACGACAGACTATAATTAGTGGTGAAGTGGTTATTTAGCTACACCAGTCGCTTTCCTTATAATAAATGTTTAGTAAGCCACTGAGTCCGACAAGGGCATAGCTGGGTCGCGTCAAGCCTTGCTGGGTCCTATTTCTCCAATGGCTGGTGTCAAAACACCGGGTTGAAGTAGCCTTTATCCACCAACTTGAACCCAGTTCTATTTTCTCAAGTTGTTAATCGTGAGACTAGAAACCGCATTAAGGCAAAACCATAGATTACGCACCGTAGTTTTTCCATTTTCATGGGGAGAAATTGTTAACGAAAGGAAATTTGGTTTTAGTAAGCCAACCAATTATACAATTAGGCCTACCATAGACTTGACAAGACCAGAGGCAAAAAAACGAAATCCTTAGAGTTTATTTCGCGAGTAAGTTAAACAACCCTCATCCTTAATTCTGGCTACTTGGAAAATACCCGTTTCAAACCAGCAAGTAGGGAGGTATCTTGGGTCTACTTAATGGTCTCAAATCCGGTTTTCAATGTGCCCCTAATTTACGCATGGATGTATTCATTCAGTAATCATCTATCCTTCCAATTCCTTCTTGCTCATCCATAATTCAATTCAGCATGGATCATTAACGTCGATTCTCCACTTTTCTTCAAACAAAGATGTGATCATCGACTTCAAAAAAGAAAAGGAGCCTACCAGGAACCTCCCGATCCGTGGTGAGAATTCGCTCTTCGAGGAAGCGATGGATGTTGAAGAGACGTCGCTGGTTCACCTCTGCGTCCAAGGGACCCCATTTGCCCCAAAGACGCCAGTTACTATGGCGGCCAGCATTACTGAAAGGTCCTGCCGCCGTAGTTGCCGCAACTGTACCGGCCGTTCCACTTCCCCCTGATAACCCCCCACTTACCTCTGAGGTCATCACAGCAGCTGGATCGAGGAGGTAGGGTTGAGCCAATTCAGAGGCCTGAGGTGTAAAATGGACCGTAAAAATAAGGAATCAGACAAGTTGGAAGATGGTTATCGCAATCTAAATTCCTCCATCTAGTTAAGCATGGCCTGACTCCCTGGATCCACCCATCCCAGGCCCATTCATCCATATCTACTTATCGACTATATTGTAAAACGGTTAACCCACATTGAAAAGCGCTTCTTTGTCCGCAACGTTCATCGTGCATTTACTAGGCGCTGGAAAATGAATACCCCTTCTACTTCTTGAAATTCATTATTGTCTGTTACAAAACCAAAGACCCTAGTTTATATGGTAAAATCCCATGAATCAGCGCACAAACGGTAGGACTCAATTATGTCTCACCAAGGATGCAAAATCGTCCATTGTTTCGCATCGCTTAAAAAACAAGATAAAACAAATGTTGCCAAATTGGGACTTCCATAAATTCAATAGTCGCAACAAAAATAAACTCATGCACCCAATTGTAAGGCAATCATTTTTAATAGTTTTTGGAAGCACTTAATGGCACAAAATTGCGAACTTATTTCTTCCTAAAAGTACAAATCTGAGTATCTCAAAGGAAAAGCAACTACATGCTATATCGCAAATAGTAAGCTCTGCTTCGCTCCCTCAACATCGCACTGTGAGAGTTTTGTGTAAGTTGAACGTGAGAACGCAAAAGAGCAATCATGGTGATTACTCTCCACTTGTTAAAGGTTAAAGCTCAGGGCTGCATATGCCTACAAAACTCTCGAACTTCATTAAAGGGAAGCAGTCCTACCAGGGAAAAATTATTGTAGTCCATAAATTGGTGAAAAAAAAATATAAATATGTCATGTTGGTCATATCCAAAAAGAATAGAAGAGGATCAGAAGATCAGATACTGATCCACCGAGGCCCTTGTTTGTTACAAGCAAAAGTAGTTTTAAGGAGATCAACCATGTTAAAATAGACAAGGATGGTCAGGTATGAAAATGTTGCTTTCGTAGTGCGACAGTATGAAGTAAGGAACTGATTGCAACAGCGATCCACGATAGAGCCAAATTTTATTTTTGCCAAAGCAAAAAGCTCCCATGATTTGTTACCAGTTCCTCTTTCTTTATGATGGACTAGGCTTATTGAGACGCAGAGCTTAAACGAGCCGCTGCGAGAACGGAGGCATGTTTACTGATTGGGGCACATTCCTTCTTAACTGATAATCCAC